GTCAGACGGTTGCTGTGTCGCTTCGACTCTTCTGACTCCTTGACTTCGTACTTAGTAGAGTCGGCTCCTGCAACATACAGGAATGCCTTCTTACAAAACTTCATATCGCAACAATAGGTACTGTAGTACACTTCAACATTTTAATCTCAGTCAGAATAAAATGCAACGAATTATAGTCCAGTTACCATACTTACGTCGATAGGCTATTATCGAATCAGTTTTTAGCAAGTGAAGTGCGAATTACAGGTAACTGTTTTGAGACTCTCGCCAATTTCGTAAGCCAGACGCGCCCCTTTCCCCCCAACCCCCCCCCCCCCCCCCCCAACAAACAATCGATCGAGGGGGAAGGGGAGGCGAAATTGTCGCCCAATTTCGTTTCGCCTCCCCCTCCCCCCTGCCCCTCACAAACACTCGACTGAGGGGGAAGGGGAGGCGAAATTGTCGCCAATTTCGTATCGCCTCCCCTTACCCCCCGCCTCTCACAAAAATTGACCGAGGGGGAAGGGGTGGCGAAATTGTCGCCAATTTCGTAAGTCCTCCCCTTCCCCTCAACCCCTCACGAACAATTGGCCGACGTGTGAGGGGAGGCGAAATTGTCTGACTCACAGATGAACGCCAAATCAGCGTCACCCGAGAGGCAGATAACTTCTCGCCACCTGTCATGCACACCAACATTTTTACCTGCCACCTGAGCTCAAATAGCAGACGTCATCACGGAACAGCTGTCACTCCTCACCACAAAACCCCACGCTTCAACCAACTGTGCCATCGACTTCAAGATTTCAAACTTAAACCTGATCACCGCTCTGATTTTCAATACAACCCGACCAAACCACGTTCTTACTCAAAATGCTACCAAACTGACATCATTTAAAGCAAGGGTGCACATTCCTAGGGGTGGTTTTGGGGGGCATTGTTAGTGTACACCCTTTGACGCTTTCTGATTTGATAGCGAAGTGTTGAGGGTACGGTAAGCTGGTGCGAGGAATTCAGGCTTGGCTGGCGACGCCAACCAATTTCGTACTAAGATTGGCTTGGGGAACACCCCGCGTAAGGGCGGAAACCATTCATATGGCGCAACCAAGTGATAAGGGCGCGTGTCTTTTGGTTTTTATATGCAAAACTCGATTTTTTTGTTGAACTGTAGTCATTTGAACCGTGCTCGAGCTAGGCTCGAGTTTTCACCAACTGCAAACCGAGCCGCGGTTCCACCCCTCCCGAAAATCACGCGACAAACAAAAGTTCAACTATCGAAGTTGAACTTTTGCAGCCCAGCCGAGCCGCGACCTACGCTTGTAGGTTACCCGGTTTGGACTCTTGACATCGCGCCACGTAAGGCCTCGCGCTGACGAGCACCCTCGTGCGCACGATGCTAGCTGCGAGCGTCGCAGACTTCGCATCGTCGCTGTCAGTGATGAGGTGGACACACGCTCGCACATTCGTGCCAACCTGTTTGTTGATGAGGGTTCAACTTGGGAGCTCAACATTTTCCGATGCTGGAAGTGTACGTGGACACACGACGTCCTGGCGAAGATTTTAGCGAAATTAACGAAAAGAGTAACCAGCAAAAGTTCAACCAAAATTCCGAACGTCTACACCAAAAGACACGCGCCCTAACCAAACACTGAGACACAATCAATCTTGCAAAGCAGAAGTCCATCTAGAAAGCGTAGGCTCCAGCATTTTTACGTGTGAAACTAAGCATCCATTCCCTAGCGCCACTACGACAGAGGCCGGAGTTTAGAGTCCCCTCCTCCCCACGCGTACACGCAAGCTTCATCGCGCGCTAATGGCGACATCGCGGTTAGCTCGCGACGTCAACGCCTGCGAGGCGCGTCGTTTTCCCGTCGTCTCTGCCTCCTCGCCGTGTCGCTACCTCGCGTTTGCCTTCCCAACTCACCAGAACCCATCTTCCCCGCCAAACTCACCTCCCCGCTGCCCGACGCCCTGGCCGGAGTCAAACCATCATTCGTCGCGCGAGTCACCTTATGAGCTTTCGCGAATCTTCTTCTTCCCGCCACGTTTGCGTCCTCGGAAACAGTCTGTGGTCACAGCGCGCCTTCCCTTTCCGTCTTCCCCCTTTTCCTCCACTATGCTTCTGCTCAACGCGTCAACATCAGACTTTGATCTTCGCATGAGCTATCGCCCGTCTTGTTTCTCACACACGAATGGTCGGCACGAGATGAGAAAGTAGTAGGCTGTCGACCTCTTTTCCCCCGTCCGCCGCCCTCGCTTCCCCCGCACGTCGCCCTCGCTTCCCCCGCACGTCGCCCGCACTTACCTTCCCCTCCCCTGTCGCCCTCGCTTTCCCCGCCCGTCGCCCGCGCTTACCTCGCCCGTCGCCCGCGTTTACCCTGCTCACCGCCCTCGCTTCCCCCGCCAGTTGCCCGCGGTTCCCCCGCCCGTCGCCCTCGTTCCCCCGTCCGTCGCCCTCGTTCCCCCGCCCGTCGCCTCGTTTCCCCGCCCATCGCCGTCGTTTCCCCGCCCGTCGCCCTCGTTCTCCCGCCCGTAGCCATCGTGGTTTCCGGTCCGCAGCCATCGCTTCCCGTTCCCATCGCTCTCCACGTCGACCTGTCCACGCTCCCACTTCCCGCCGCTGCCTCCCCTGCTTCTCCTCGACTTCGATCTCGATTCCTTCCCCCGTCGCCCACGCGCATGCCCCTCCCCTCCCTGGGGCCGTCGACTTCGTCTCCCGCCCCCCCCCCCCCCCCCCCCCCCCCCCACCCTTCTCTACCCCTCACAGTGCACGTTTTTTCCACCTCCTCCGATCCCTCACCCTGTGGTTATCCACATCCTCCCAAATGAGCAAAACTTCTTCCTCCATCTGCCTTCCTTTTTGCGGACCCCTCTCTTCCCCTTCACTCAACCTCCCTGTTCACACTGTTTCCCCTTGCTCAGTGTGTTTCCTCCCTGCTTTCTCCCTCCCCCCTGCTCACTCCGTTTCCCCTTGCTCAGTTTGTTTCCCCCTGCTTTCTCCCTTCCCCCCTGCTCACTCTGTTTCCCCTTGCTCAGTTTAACCCCCCTGCTTCCTCCCTTCCCCCTTGCTCACTCTCTTTCCCCTTCCTCAGTCTGTTTCCCCCTGTTTTCTCCCTTCCCCTCTCCTCACTCTGTTCCCCCTTGCTGAGTCTTTTCCCCCCTGCTTTTACTCTTTAACCCTGCTCACGCTGTGTCGTGTGTCCAAACACATATTTACCCCCTGCGTACTGTCGTTTCCCCCTCACTAACCCCGTCTCCCCCAATGCAGGGTACAGATGTCCAGCGGCAGATGTTGCGGCTTGACCGCAGCCCTGGTTTATTGCACGCACTGTAGCAAACAAGAGTGCGAAGAAACATTACACCCCCAACCTTTGTCCTTTACGCTGGTAGTCAGTTGGGTTCACATGAAGTAAATTGACTGCCCATTCTGCCTCACCCCATTCCGCCTCACCCCATTCTGCCTCACCCCATTCCACCTCACCCAATACGTCACCCACCCACCCGCCATAGCCGGCCTCCTCTCCTCATTGCCTCTTGCAGAATCTGGTCACCCCGCCCTGATCTCCCTGCCATCTTACTTCGCATCCCCCTCTTCTCTTCTCTTCTCTTACTTTGCCATCCCCCTCTTCCCTTCCTTCCTCCTCACCCCATCTCCTCACCCCATTCCGCCTCACCCCATTCAACCTCACCCCATCTCCTCACCCCATCTCCTCCTCACCCTTCATCCCTTGTGCTCTTCTGCACGCGGACATGCTTGGCGCGCTGTGGGTGGATGGCAGCAGGCAGAGTCCCACATCAGAGGAGGACGTGGTGCTGCTGGAGTCTCTTTCCCCCGTCCTCCCAACCTCATTCGTTTTCTTTCTCCCATCCCTTTTCCTCCCTGCATCCCTTTCCATGTTCCCTCCCTTCATGCATCCTGTCCTTCCTTTGTTCCTCCCTTCATCCGTCCCTCCCTGCATCCATCCCTCCATTCGCCTGTTCCTCCCTCCCTACGTCCCTTACTCCATTCCTCCTTCCCTCTGTTCCTCCCTCTGTGTCTCTATATTTCTTCCTCTTCGCAGGTGTTTGCTTGTCAGTTATCAATCTTTTGTACCAGTATGCTATTAGCTAATTCAACCACAAGCATCTGACTTGTAAAATCGTGTTTGTACAGGTCCTCATGCATTCGGTTCAGGGATGTTGGTTGTTTCATAGTGCCGTACTACATGGTATTAGCCATGCCAATGTGGAATGTTTATTATTATACTAGATTGAGATCCATGGAGCAGTGTATTATTATGCTAAATTTTGATCCAAGGAGCAGTGTATTACTAAACTAAATTTTGATCCATGGAGCAGTGTGACCATTGACCACCTACAAAGTGCAACAATCGTCAAATACGGTACAACGAAATAAGTCAATGTTATGTCTCTTCCCATCCCAGTCTTGTCTGCATACACAGCGAGCAGAGAAATGTGGAGGTGATGCGGGAGGGATGGACACTTGCTAGCGGGAGCTGATGAAGTGGAGCAAAAAACAAGGACTTGTGGTTCCCTCCCTACACTTGGTGCAGGGCACATGTACACTGCATGGGGGGAAACGGGGGTGAGTGAAGGGGGAAACACAGTAAGTAGGGGCTGATTGGGGGTGTGTGCAGGGGGAAACAGAATGAGGGAAAACCAGAGTGCAGGGAAGACAGTGAGCAGAGGGAAAGAAGTTGAACAGGGGGAAGAGAATGAGCATTGGGGAAGAGAGTGAGCAAGGGGAGAGAGAGTGAGCAAGGGGGGAGAGAGTGAACAAAGGGAAAGAGAGTGAAGAGGGGGAAAGAGGGTGAGCAGGGGGAAAGAGAGTGAGAGTGATGGGGAAAAAGAGTGCGCAGGCGGGAACAGAGTGAGCAGGGGGAAAGAGAGTGAGCAGGGGGAAAGAGAGTGAGCAGGGGGAAAGAGAGTGAGCAGGGGGAAAGAGAGTGAGCAGGGGGAAAGAGAGTGAGCAGGGGGGAAGAGAGTGAGGAGGGGCGACGCGGGAAGGAAGCTAGTGCGAAGAGTCAGCAGCGGGAATGAGAACGACGTGGATGCAGCGGCAGGTGGGAGAGGAGAGGTCGACGGGGCGAGTGATGGGGAGGGAAAACGAGGGCTACGGGAGGGTGAAGGCGAAGGCGACGGGAGGGGGAAGGGGAGGGCGACGGGAGGGGGAAGGGGAGAGCGACGGGAGGGAGAAGGGGAGAGCGACGGGAGGGAGAAGGGGAGGACAACGGGAGGGGGAAGGGGAGGGCGACGGGAGGGGGAAGGGGAGGGCGACGGGAGGGGGAAGGCGAGGGCGACGGGAGGGGGAAGGCGAGGGCGACGGGGTCGCAGGAAGCGGCTCCTTCCGTCCCCCTCGTGCCCTCTCCCTCCCCGTCGCTCTTCACTCCAGTCCCTGCCGCGCGCGAAATTGCTCCTTGCTCCGGTCCACCCCTTGCCAAATACGCTGCTACCTCCCGTCCGCGCCTTGCGCTAATCCGCTGCTCCCTCCCTTTTGCGCCGAAACGGAGCGAAGCAGGGGAAACGGCGAGCATCGAGCGGAACCGCACGAGTGGCAGCACTGAAAGTGGGGTGCGGAAAGCGGGAGCGAATGCGCTGAGCTGAAAGCGGGGAGCATGATGCAGCGAGCAAGCGGAAAGCGACGCGCTGGTTGCAACAAGCAACGAGCAACGTCACTTCTGCGGCGACCGTCGCCGAGTGGCTTGCGACATGCGGCGACTATAGTCGAGCTTCGAGCTGCGAGCGGAAGGCGACGCGGAAACGCGACGATTATAAGACTATAAATGGCGTCAACACGCCTGCGAACGATGACACGAATGGCTCGCTATCGGCCAGCGACGAACTGCGACATTTGAACTCGTGGCAATCTAGCCGTCTGTGACGGATAGCGAGATGTTCTAAGCTCTTACTGAGTAACGCTCCTAAGGCTAATAACGCGACGATTATAAGACTATAAATGGCGTCAACACGCCTGCGAACGATGACACGAATGGCTCGCTATCGGCCAGCGACGAACTGCGACATTTGAACTCGTGGCAATCTAGCCGTCTGTGACGGATAGCGAGATGTTCTAAGCTCTTACTGAGTAACGCTCCTAAGGCTAATACGAGGCTACGAGGTCATTGGCGGGCCCTCTGTTTTTGTGGTTGGGTTGTTGTGGAGTGAGTTTTGGTGCACAAACTCTACTGCGGTACTTGCAAGTTCCCAACCCTGCTTCCTTCGCGCACAACTGACGGGGGGGCACACCTCGTCACTCTCCGGGGGTTGGGGCAAATATTTGTCGCCCTGCACGCTCTGCCACAAACCCGGTAACCACCCAGAGGCAAGTGATAAACCTTTGCCTCCACCCCCCCCAAAGTGCACCCTTGCTTTAACCAGAACCCTCCCTCATTGCCCATTCAGTTTATGCGTGTACCAACTCTGTGTCTGCCATTGTTTCTTAGCTTTCATGTATCTCTTGTTCTTCTCATTCTATTCGCCCTCGATCTTGCCTGTTACTTAGAATGGCTATTAGACAAGTACTACCCCGTTAATAACATCTACTTTCCTCGCTACCCGCTCATCCGTTTCGCCCCGCGCAGGCAACGCCGTTTCCCCTTCACCCGACCCAGCTTCGCGGAGCTGCACGCCGCGCGACTGGTTCAAGTTGCAGAGGTCTACCGTTGGCGGATGATGCTGCCTGCGGGCGATCGCGGCTCCACTGGCGACGGAAGCAACGCGGATTTTGGGGAGTTTGTCGAGGTGAGGGAGTGTGACGTGTCGGTCTGATCGAGGAAAGGTATGTCTACTTTTTCGTCAACGTTTTTGTTTTAATTTTGCTCCCCCTGTGCTTTCTTGTCTCAAAACTTTTCAAGGCGGCCCCTGGGCACGTTACATTTATATTATAACTAACCAGGAAACCTATAATGCTTTTGTTTTTGTTTTTGTTGGTGTTTGTAGTTGCAGCCAAGCGCTTAAACAGTTTGACGTTTTTTTTTTTTTTTTAGATGCAGGACTGAATTGCCGTAACCAGCTATTCTGTTAGTACATTCACTGTCTTGTTTTCTAACGAGATGATTCTTTGTCATTTTCCGTGGTCCTGTGGCTAATCATTTGAAGTGTCAGTTGCAGGAATTGCTGTTTATGTATGGAAGGTGCCACACTGTAGAGTTTGTTTATTCAAGCTGCCGTTATCTACTGGGACGTATTCAGATTTGCGTTAATGTGTTTATATACTGCTGAATGCCCTACAATCTGTATACATTGTTGTATATGATTAGCAACAAAACAAAACCTGTAGCAAGTAAATTTTGCGTATGACTTAAAGCCAACCTGTATGTGCACCTTACAATGAACCAATAAAGATCTACCCTCACACGTGTGTGATTGGTCTCTCATTGGACACAAATGTCCCAGAAATGTCCGAAATCGGCCCTCCAAAACACTTTCGGGACCCTGCCAAAGATTCTTGGAGGATATTTTTGGGACTCTTCGAACCGAACCATAGTTGTTCCCGAAAGACTCTTCGGGGATGGTGGTGAAAAGTGTCCCAAAAGTCTCCCCCGGGATGCTTTTGGGACGCTTTTGGGAGCTGGGATTTTTGAGATGTCGTCGAAACAGGGAGCACGGGAATATACGGTAGGCCCCCGGATAGAAGCGCCCCTGGGGGTATAAAAAAACACTGTTTTTTAGGGGGTGGGCTTATAATTGAGGATTTTTATAAGCGCCGGCGCTTATATAACGGCAAAAATGAAATTAAGTAGTTTTTATACCAATCTGTAGATCTCGTTCTGCACATTGTAATCGAGTCGAAAATATATGGGGTCGCGAATCTGATTCTCGCTCAGCTTGGCAGGGATTGATTTTTTGCCAACACATGCTGACAAAGCGACAGCACGTGCTGACTAGACGCGAAGCAAGTGAGATGTGAGTGGGAAACTGGAACTGTACTTCGCTTCCCTGGTAAGGTGAAATTCGTTTCTGTATTTCGACTGATTTTCAGATATAAAATTGGCATGCGCTTATAATAAATCATGAATTTTTAGGGGGTGCGCTTATAATCGAGGACCGGATATAAGCGCCCTCATCCTTTTATAAGCGCCGGCGCTTATCCGAGGCCTGCGCTTCTATCCGGGGGCTTACGGTAGCTTGAGCTGCGCGCAAGCCTCAGTGCTAAGCCACAGTGTGGGTAGATGTTGACGGGTGGGGCTGGTGAGCTGACGGGTAAACCGACTCTGAAAGAAGGCGTTCTGAAATTCGCGTTCGCGGCGAGCGTATCATGGTGGTGGTAGTACCAATAATAGCAATCGAACGCAGCGAGTGATGCATTCGGAATGCCACGGAGGGATGATACTGTCATTCCTCTTGACGTCACGTGAAAGCGGGTCGCTCGAGGGGCTACAGGGTCTTGATTGATGAGCTCAGCGGCGAGTCTACTGGTTCAAATGCTCAAGTTTACAGGGTCTGACGTGTCAGCGCCGGGTAATCAGGGTGTATGATGTGGCGGCGACGGAGAGATCTGTCATTCCTCTTGTGGCTTGAACCGGAGCTGCTCTCCGTGAAAGGGGGTCGCTTCAGGGGCTACATGGTCGTGATGTGATCACGATTCATGCACTGTAAGATATGGCTCAATGCTCACGTGTCAGCATGGGGTAACCGTCACTGAGTGACGCGAGGGAAGCACGAGTCGTCGTGGCATTCTCTCGGGAAGAGGGGGAGGGCGAGCGAGGGGGGGAAAGGAAAGATGTGACGCGCGACTCGCGGGAGTGGGATCCCCCCCCGCACTGCAACGCCAGCCGTCGGCGGAGCAATGATGCTATTGGTGGAGCATTATCAGCTGCAAGAGTGCCCCATCTGTGAGGCACCCTTGCCACTCTCTTGTCTTGACCTGGTTCCAGACACGACACGTCATCCGGTTTTGACGTTGACTCGTCAAGTTGTCGATCGAGGACTCGCGTCATCTTCTGCACGCATGCGTCGACGAATCGAACGGACACGGGACTCGGGGTAATATCGGGCTACTGTAGTACCGTGCAGTGACTGCGTTCTTGTACACGTCGTGCGAAATTTCCTGGAAGTGAGATCGCAGCATAAAGTCATGCACGAATTCGGGATCATCACAAAGTATGGGGCACTAGTTTGGTCCAAAGTACGACCAAAATTGGTTGTTGGGTCCAAAATATGACCAAAACCAGTCCTATTTTGGACAGCATAACAAAGACCAATTTTTGTATACTTGGACATACACTTTTTGACCGAAAACGCCAACAAAATTGGTCTGATTATACTACACCCAAATTAGCCAAAGATTGGACCAAAATAGCTGCAACTATGTACAGCTTTTGGGGTCAGATGGTTTTATAGCACTGCTAGGTTCTTTCACATATTATCATCACAGCAAGCTTCAAAACGTACTTTAAATCAAATAATCAAGCCTCCACTAGAACAGCCAGGTTCATCGTGTCAAGATAGTAAGGACAGTGAGAAGCCATAGCTAGGGTTGACCTAGCTAGGCAAGTAAGAAATGAACAAAGGAGGGCTTACACTAGCAAGAATGGGGATACAAATAGCAAACCCTAGAAGGGTTGTACTCGCTATAGAGCACCCCACTACAGGCTAGAGCATAATATTCTGACACACCCCCATAGCCAAAGTGGGGTGTAATCAACAGAGCAAGCAAAGCAGTACAAGCTCAGGGTGGATCACAATGTCACCACACATTCTGAGCACAAGTTCAAGAAGCAATAGTTTAAAGTTCACAATTATGAGCAAAGCTAGTGGTAGTCACAACGGGCAAGTGAGGAGGAGGAAAGAGACTATGAGAGGAGAGGAGGTAGTGGGCGGCAGCTGAAGCTGCTGGCACACGGCGCAACTGGAGCAACTGGCACACGGGCAACTGGAGCAACTGGCACACTGGCAACTGGAGCAACTGGCACACGGGCTACTGGAGTAACTGGCTCCGCGGCTGAAAGTAGCGGCAGACGAGCAACGGACTCACGGGCGACTGGAGCAACGGGCTCACGGGCGACTGGCGCAACGGGCTCACGGGCGACTGGCGCAACGGTCTCACGGGCGACTGGAGCTGCTGGCTTCACGGCGGCCACCCCCTTCAACCTCCCCAAACTATCCCACTCCCCCTGACACACACCCGCTGCTACACCGCTAGCTCCACTCCCACGTCACCCCCCTAGCACCACTCCTTCGGCTCCCCACACACCCACCCCCCTGAGCGGCAGCTGCAGCAGTGGGAGACGGAGGAGGAGGAGGAGCAGGGGACGGCGCACACTCTTGCACCCCCATAACCGCCACCCCCACACTCGCCACCCCCAAACCCTAAAACGGGTGGCACGGGGCAGGAGCGCGGGGGACGGCGCGGGGGACGGCGCGCGGCCCTGGGGCAGGCTGCCCGAGCCGCGCGCGGGCCTGGCGCAGCCCGTACGGGCCGCGCGCGGGCCTGGCGCAGGCCGTACGGGCCGTGCGCAGGCCTGACGTAGCCTGAACGGGCCGCGCGCGGGCCTGGCGCAGCCCGTACGGGCCGCGCGCGGGCCTGGCGCAGGTCGCGCGGGCCGCGTCGGGCGACGGGGGGCGACGCGCAGGTCCGCGGGCTCCGTGACGGGCGACGGGGGGCGCTTCGACGGGCGACGGGGGGCGCTTCGACGGGCGACGGGGCGGTCGACGGGAGGGGGGGAAGCGCGGGTCCCCGGGGTGACGCACGAGGGAGGAAACCGCCGCG